ACTCTCTCTCTCTCTCTCTCTCTCTCTCTCTCTCTCTCTCTATCAAATTCTACGTTTTCAATGTTATTTCATCGTATTTTCTATCGATAATTCAACCTTTGCCTTTTCAACGAATTAATTTTTCACGTTGTTTCCTTATTTCCATTGGGAGGTTTTTAATCACCATCGATGAAATTCAATATTAATTTATCATTCAAGCAGCTCGAGCACCGTTTGAATCAGCTAGAATTTTCATAGTCTTCTAGATCGATTTTTCCAAGTAGAGGAATATTTTATTATTTATAATATATGAATTGAACGAGAAATTGTTAAGATAAGGTAACAGTTTCTCGACTTATTTAACTGAACTACGATCGATCATACGCGACCGACGTAAAATATGTAATGTTTCCTCGAAAGGCAACCAATTATTATAATAAATAATATCATTATTCAAATTAAATTTAAAATCGTTTAGAGAATTAATCGAACAATTTACCAGATCAACAGCGGTCGATGTTTCGAGTCGATTGCTTTCATCTGGACGTCCCTCGTTGATCATCTCATTGTTCACTCGCCATAAAAAACGCGGCCTAGGATTCGCGTAAACGGTCACGTTCACGATTCCCTGCCGTCCAATCACGTATCCAAATCGTTCAATCGTTGACTGAGGTTGAGGAGGATCTAATAAAAACAATTTTCTCCTTCTCATCTTTTTTTCTACAAAAAAAAAAAAGAAACCACCTTCGAAACCTCAAATATTCCTTACTCCTCTACTTCATCTCGAGAATTAAAAAAAAAAAAGAAAAGAAAAAAAAGAAATCAGAGAGAAAATTATTTCCAGAAAGATTTTCAAAATAGATTTCGAGGCATGCGGATCACTTACAGTGGACCTGCAGTTGCATAGTTGTTCCTTGGGCCGATCGAGGGCAATGTGACCGGCGACGCATCGAAGAACTTTCCCATTGTCGATCCAGTCCAAGGCGCGCGATGCATTTTGCACGGCCAGTGAATTGTCGTCCACGTTCGAGTCGTAAATCGTAGGCCTTTCCTCGTTCCCGATTGGCTCGTCGTCTGACCGCCGTTCGAAACGAAGAAACGCGAATAAGTATTTAGAAAGAAAGAAAGAAAAAAGAAGAAGAGGACGAGGAAGAAGAAGAAGAATTATCGATCAAAAATTCCCGGACGACTAATTACCGAGGAACAAAGAAACGTTGGCCGCTGGTCGTCCGCCTGGCGCGCTGCAACTCACTTCCAATTTTTCTCCCTTCCTATATATATTTCTTCCATCCGATCCTGGACTAGTGTGAAGCTCTGGATTATTCGGCGGTTCTGTAAATCGAGTTCCAAGCATTAATTATTCGCTCAACGGTTGCGCTCAACAACGGACTGTTGAATTTTCGCATCAAGAGTCGAGCTTTAAAAGCGCGCCGGGATCTCGTTAATCCTCTCGCCATCGAGAAGGGAAAAACTTGCAGATCTTTATTTAAATTCGTTTCGAAACATCTCTCTCTCTCTCTCGATCATAGCCCGTTTTCGTCATTTATCTCTATCGACTTTATCTGAAAACAGTAATTTCCTTTCGCGTATCACCACCACCACCACCACCACCACCACCCTACTCTCTCGCGTAAGCAATTCTCTTAACGAAGATTAATTAGTTCTCGAATTCTCTCACACGACGACGTTATATTTTTCACATTCGTGTATATACGTAGGGATATACTTTCCTCGTAACGTGACCAAGTTTCGCAGCGATTTTCTCATTAATTTCAAAAAGGAAATGTGAAATCTCGACGATTGGAAACGATTAATTACGAGCGTTAAAACGACTCGGCTCGTTCGAATCAATTAAAAATTGATCGTGTCCTTCTATTCGCGTGGGATAAAGAGAGATAAAATTATCACATATTATACACACTGGCCACGATGATCCTCATGGATGCCTGCTCCTCCGATCGACTGTCGGTTGTGGTCAGGGTGCATTTGAATATCCCGTCGTGGCTTTCCTTGATCTTAGCTATGCGAACACCGCATTGGCCCGCCTCTGTCCCCTCTCCGTAATACTCGATACCGTCCTCGGGCGGTTGTCCCTTCGACAACACTATACCACTTTCCTCGCCAGGTATCTCGACACGGCACACCCGAAGCGGTCTACCCACTCTGCACAAAATTTGCAGACTCTCGCCCAATCGAACGGCCGTCGGTCGTTTTGGCTCGATGTCCACGATTAGGTTCGATTTCGATGCTGAAAAAGATCGAGAAAAGAAGAATTAGAGGGAGGGAAGGAATCGTTAAAAGTTCTATCTTATCTATCCTTTTAACGAATTCTCCACATTGGTGAAATTATTTCGTGGAAATATATGTTGGAGAGGGGTTTTATCAAGGTTTAATCAAGTAAACAAGGAAGGTACGAGCTACGAAATAGCGATGAGTCGTTGTGTGAACGAGGTCGAGGAAAGGTGTTTAATTTATGGACGCGTGTTATGCCTCGTTCCAACGGGCTCGTAAGTTATAATACGATCAAGAAGACGTAAAAGCGCCCCTTCATCGACTATCATCGTGGCCGACGAAGATTTAATACTGCGCCTTGAAATTGCTCCTCCTTGTCCCGGAAAAAACGTTAATTTTAATTCTTCGAATTCGTCGTCGTATATGCGCGATACGTAATACGAAGCGTAATATCGGATACATTTCAACACTTTGAAATATTCGCGACGAGTCGTAAAACGAGGCGTAAGTATAAAAAGCGCGAAAATATTCCATACTTTTTACGTTCTTTCTTTACGATTTCATCCTTTATCCCTCAACTCCATAGAATTGATTCCCTCTATAGAATCTTTCTACCCTATCTTTCTTTACGCTGTTAATTCCCCCCCATCTCGAATTCTTCAACTTTACCCCACAATCATAAATTCAAAACTTTCGTCTCTCTCTCTCTCTCTCTCTCTTCTTTGTGGCTCGTATTCTTCGAATACATTGTGAAAATTCTTCAATGTCTTAGTTTTAATCCACCCTCGATTTCATACGGATCGTAAATTTCCGCGGTATCGAAACACCAGCTTATCTCGAATCCATTGTTGAATGTGAATTTTAATCTGCATTCCTGCATGCCAGGATACGTGTGGCGACACGAAGCGACAGGGAGACAATTATAGCGCTGGATTGAACGGTGTTTTAAGATTTATGAGACAAATACGAAAGTTGATTAAATTCTACTCTCGCGGAAACTTTCGAACGGAAAGAAGGAAAAAAATACAACGAAAAAATTTCATTAGTATCGAAATTTCGCAAAAATTCGCATTGAACGAATATTTTTTTTTTTTTTTACAAAAGCCATTTTAATAATGCGCGTTTGCCATTTCGATATCGCTTCACGATAATAATTTCCACGCGAAAACAATCCCCAAATTAAATAAAAGCTTACACACGAAATTGCAGCATATTCAAATTAATCGCTTCCACCGTTTGTTTCGCCGTTCTATCGATTTATCGACTAATCAAACAACGCAAGATTACCTTTCCTCTCCTTCCAATCAGATTTTCCCTATATATTTGGCCCACGAGTCAAGCTCGATCGTTCGTCTGCAACAACAACGAAAAAAAAAAGAAAAAAAAAGGAGAAAGTCGAGGAATTTTCTTTCGAACCTACCCCTATCGCTTTTTACCAAACTTTCCCCCGGTAATTGTGCCGGGTATGTAACGGATAACGAGAAGTAGCCGACAGTCTGGTTGTATCGTAAATGAACAAAAGTTTCCGCGCAAAAAGCTTGGAAAGTATCGAGCTGTACCTGCAACCAGTTCCCCGAACAGGGAGAGGTAAGGGCGGGGGGGTGGAATGGATTCCTGGTCGAGAAGTGAGAACGTGTACCACTATATTCCATTAGTAACTGTATTGTCAAATCGAGGTTCGATATTTTCCCGTTACAAAAGTGAGTCACGCTCGTGAAATCATTCGAATAAAAATTCTTCCATTCTTCGTCGCGATCTAATTTCCCCCTCCCCCTCCCCCCTCTCTTTTTTTTTCTTTTATTTTCGAAATTCAATTTTTATCTTTATCGTCGAGTCAATCCCGATGGATCGACGGATTTAGAGGCGAAGAATATCCGCCCGAAAAATAATTAAAATCTTTCCTGATAAAATGACGATCCTTTCTTCTGGATTTTTTGTTTTCTCTTCTCTTTCTTTCGTACGAGTAAATGTAATACATATAGATATTCTTGACCGGAGTGTAAAAGGGGTTGAACATATTATACGCGGAAACCGAATTTCAGGTTAGTTCGTTACAGGCGTCCGCGATTACTCGCGAGAAGCACGCGAAAAACGAGAAACAGGCTTACGAGCGACTGTTCTGCAACAAATTAAATTCTAGAGGAAAATTGGTTCATTATCCGCGCGAACGTTGCGGAGTGTAATGCAGTTTGTTGGCGGAATCGAATGAGGAACCGCGTGTGGTGGTGCAGCGGCCTCTCGGCGAATTTATTATATCGTCCCATCGAGCTCTCAATTTCACCCCTCCTCCTTCCTAATCCGATAAACCTTGACTCGATTCTTGTGAAATTACATCTCGACAATTAGGGAATTGCATTGCTTTCTCCCCGGCTTATGTAATCATTTCTTTTGTTCCAAATCCAAGCGTGTCTTGTTTACACCCGCCGAAACAAAATTCCGGACCAATTCCATTCTGAAATTTTTCCTCCCTATTCTTTTTTACATCCCGCTTAAATCTTTGTCACAATGTTTGAACGAAACTTTCTTTTTTTTACTCACTCTTGAAACGTATAGAAACAATATCATTTCAGAACGAGAAGGGCAAGCGAATAATAGTGTCACAATTATTTAAATCTCAATTACACATCCGCGATATTGCAATTAATCCTTAATATAAAAGTCCAAACAACCGTTCGTTCCATTCCTCTTCCCTCCGTCCATTCTTTAGTTCCATCAACAGTACGAATCATCCCCAAATTCTCAAGATCGTAAAGTCGTAAAGTCTAATTTATAATAATTGACGTACGCACTCTTGAGGACGAAAACGAGGTCGAATTTCGTTCGAGGGATCATAAGCCGCATCAATCTGGGGGGGGCGGCCTAGTCTTGGCCGGGTCGAACGTGGCCCGATCTCGTGCACGCTACGCCATTATGATAATGGCGGCCGAGGAGATACGATAAACCGGGCGTGGCGCGAATAACGATTATCATATTTCATCTCGGCTTGACGGATCGAATAATAACTAGCCACGAATTGTATCGGCCTCCTCCTCTTCTTAACGGGGTGTGTGTGTGTGTGTGTGTTGCTCGTCATCCACGAGACTTTGTTTTGCCCAATGCTCGTTTCACTTTTTCTTCACCCTGTTTCGTATACACGAAAGGAAGAAAGGGATCGATTCGTAGGGATAAAGATAAGCGAGGGAGTGGTGGTTTTGAGACTTTGCAAATTTATGCCCGGCAATTTTCTAAGTTTGTATAGGCTAATATGCAGCGATGAACTTTATCGATTTAATAATCGTGTAAACACTTTTTCAAGTATTCAATTCTTCCTTCCCTCCTCGTTTCTTGGAATTACAATTAATACCCGTTGGGATTGCTCTTTGATTTTTTGACGTGACTCGTATATTCAACGAAGGGAAAGAATTGGACGAAACGAAGATATTCTTTTCATCGAAGGGAAAGGACATTTTTTCCTTTTCTCTTTTCTACAAAGTTAAAAGAGGTCGGCGAAAAGCGACTTTTGTTTCCCTAAGATTGATTTATTTAGAATGCTTGATTAAATCCTGTCTCTATTCATTCGCGATTGTAATCTTTTCTCGTTTCGCGAACGAACGAGAAAGGCGCTTTCATCCCGTCCAACGAAGGAATTCGCTAAGCGATTTTCTCGTTGGAGCGAAGAACAAAACCCGTTCCTCCATTGTTCTATCCCTATTGGACCTCGATACGCATACTTGAAAACATTTTTATAATCTCGTTCCTGCATCGATGTCTCCCCGCTTCCTTGTTTTTCTTTTCCTATCACGATATCTATATACTTTTCGCGCGATACTCATTCCTCGCGCTTATTATCTCCTCGAGATAATCTCCCTTTCCGTCTTTCCCCCTTTGAAGAAATAGTGGTGCGATTTCAAAAGAAATCGTCGAGCCACTCGAGACTCTTTCAGCCTATCCTTAGGAGAAGAGTCGTTGTATCTTCTTTTGTTGAGAATCTTTCTTAAAACAGAGAGTTCTGAAAGTGGCTCTTTCAATCGTGTTACGTGGAATCGTGAGTTAAAGAAAAAAAAAAAAAAAGACGGGGCTTCAAAAATTACGCACGCAATTCAAAAGTACAAAGTAATTTAGTAACAAGAATTGTCATCATTTTATATCAACGAGGGTTAAAATTCAACGAATTCGTTCAACGCGAGTTAGTTCTCGACCTATCCGTCCCATAATTATCGCAGGCCCATAAATTCTATTTGATTTTCGCGACCATCAATTTGTTAGGTGGGTGGCGTCGCGATCTAATTTGAAGCACCTCCGCCCACCTCCATTTACCAGGCGGAGGAGGGCCGCGTATTTCGAAAACCGCAGCAACAGATGCGATGATTTGTGGACAGTTGCGCCCCTCAGATTGATGCAACCCTCACCGATCGATCTACGAATCAAATTCAAATTTCCAATGTATCTCCTCCTAGACCTAAACCTTCTTCTTCTTCTTCTTCTTCCTTGATCGATGTCTCGATTCTTTCCTACTTTTTTTTTTTTGGAAGGAAAAGAGTATTAAATACACGTTCAAAAGTACGTGTTTCCTTTTTTTTTTCCAAATCTTGCAAAGAGAAATGTGTATCGTAAAAGAAAAAAGAAAAAAGAATAAGAGAAGTAGAAGCGGTTGACTGGGGAGAATCACGAGGGAGTTTCATTGTCGAAGAGGAGGGCATGGCCCGAAGGTTAAATCGCGTTCAAAGAGGGAGCGAACGTTGCACGTTGCATCGCGAAGGAAGGAGCACAAAGCGATACACCAATAATCATACTCGTTCCCACGAGATACCACTTTCTTTCAAACTGGAGTTTTTCGTCGTCGGAGGAGGAGGAACCGTGTCCGTGGCGGACAAAGGCGGGGAAACGAACGAATGGACAGGATGGATCGTTGCCAGGTTCAATTTGCGTGTCGATGACGAGTTTCCTCTTCTTTGCGAGAATTTCTAAAAAAAAAAAAAAAAAAAAAAAAGAAAAGAAAAAAAAAGAAACGTGCTTTCTTTAACTCTGAATTTTTTCATTTATTCTTCTTCTCGTA